GGTCGTTACCAAATGGAGTGCAAGTGCTCATTGTAACATCACCTTCTCGATTGGCCTTACAATCACTGCAAATGTATATGACGAGTGCACCGTTTTACATTCAGTCGTCGTTTTATGCGGTAGGAAAATACACGTGCAGAATACAATAGCAACGTTTCTGCGTAGTATAGTTTGTGATTTCATTACTTGAACATGAAATAACCTATGAATATGCACATTTAAGCACGATTGTGACCACAAAAATGAAAAAAAAACGTTTCTGACAAATATTCTGGTAAAGTTTAACATTGGCCAAAGCATTGAAAAGACTAATGCCAGTTTTGCTATAGTAATGGCTTACGATTACCTATATTATCAGCAACAATATCACTCAACAAGTAGCGCTGTGGCCTCTGTGAGGTTTGAAATCCACAGCTGTCCATTTCCAAACTGCTCCAAACCAGGCTGTATAGCTTCAAATTGAAATTGAGCATCAGTAAGTCTACAGCTTTTTTTTGTATTCTTCTTAGGCTGTAAGCTGATCAATCTACAAACGACAGCTGCAACTCGCCTCTTGAGAGAGAGAGAGAAAAAGACAGGGAACCCACCCCCAAATCAAGCCCCAATGCAATCTCATTGGTGCTGTCTTGGCATTGCGACACCAACACCATCTGTCCACACCCCGTCTGGCTCCCTATGCATTCTCACACAAAGGACCTAAGTTTCTCTCTATGCGCTGCCATGTGTTGAAATGTGCGCCAGGGTCACGGGGTTTGCCACGGCAGTGGCTGGCGTTTTACAGCTCCCTGCTGCACGCGTGCCAACAAAAGCTCTATCTCCTTAAGCCATCCTAATTCTTTTACCATTGCTCTTTTTTTACTTAATCCAGCTGCCCCTTACCTGGCATACATAAACGCTTGTAACGTCTGTAAGGAAAGTGGGGGGAAAACATTATTGGAAAGATGGTTGGATCAACATTTTTGAGTGTATTAAATTATTGAACAAGCCTTTGAATTACTATGAGCAATGTTTGCTCTGCTGATAACCTTTGCTTTCCGTGTTTGCACAGAAAATGAAAGAAATAATTATAAATAAAATAAAAATTGAAAGCGTGGAATATCATATTGCATGGATTAGAGAAATCCTAAAAAAAATATTAGACCATTAAATATGGATCAAGACATTCTTGTGCTGGGGGTGTAAATGAAATATAGAGAATAAGACAAAAAATCCAAGAACAATATTAACTTCTGTTCATCAATTTACCTGTTTATTCACTCAAACATTAATTCCCATGTTAAATTATTCAGAACACTGCGATTCGGGAGCATTTGCTCCATTCGTTGACAGTAAAAACGGCGGGTCTACATCCTCATTAACGTCTGCAATTATGAACATAATCAACTCTTTTCCTTTTCAAAGTTAAATAACCATCTTATGTGCAATGTTTTGTTCTTAATACTTTTTCATAATCATCGTCATCAATAGATATATATATTATCCACTGCTGGATTCAGGCCTCAACACATTTCCCTTCACCCCCATTCCTTATTGATGCCACCATCGCTCCTTCACCCATGGCGGTTGTCCTATTTTGTGTTCGGTCCGGTGGCTGCCATTCCATCGTTACGTTGAATTTCGTGGGCTGCAAACTTTTCCAGGAGATGTGTTTCGTTAAATTAAACTTTTCGCAGCAGTCAGTATGACGTTATTAACTTGTCCGGTTATAATCTTTGGTTCTTTCGGTAAAGTCACGAAAGCTTCAAATCAAGATTGAACTTCTTTTTGTAACTCGATTTAATTCAAGGCATGTGTCTCTCCATACGTATTTCAGGATTTCCATCCTCTTTGTCAGTTTGGATGTTTCTGATCAGTTTGTAATATGCACTCATTGGGAACTTTCTTTATCATCACATTTGGTTTCTAAATACACTCTATCCTGCATTTTATTTCATGATTTCATAATTTTCATCCCAGTACACCCTTAAGCACTTCCCTGGGTATACATGTTCTGTTATATTTTCTCTATGGTGTCCATTTACCAATAATTTTAGTTTCTTAACCCAACTTATTACGAACAGTAAACAATGTAAATAAAGCCATTACATATTCTCTATTGTTTTTGCGACGTAAAAATTGGGAAATAACATCTTACCCAAGCCAGGCAGCATGTCTAGAAATGAATACTCGCGCAATTGCAAAAAGAGGCCTCTTGACACTATCTAATATTCTACTGGCATTCCACTTTCCGATAACGACACGGGTAGACATGGTGCTCCCCAGGACAAAGAGCTTTTTTTCTAAAGGATTAAAATATATATATAAAATTTGCTAGTCAGTGCGGGATGCCAGAGGAGAAAGGATGGGGGATGCGCCAGGCATTGGTGTCACCAACACAAAGAAGGCACGCTGTGCATTTCTATGCAGAATATAGGGCTAGGTTAGAGTTGATCTGAACTGGGGAGTCACACGTGTCTAACAATTCCTTGCTTGTGCCCACGACTTCAGAGTGCACATGCCACTGATTATGGCATGCTATAAAAACGCGCATTCTAAGAGAGACGTATAGCTAGGATGGGGTGGCGGGAATATATACGGCCATTTTTTTAAAAATCTAATTGTCCCTTCATGCCAGCGTGAGTTGTTGCTGCCCATTCGCACAACTGAGGAACTCTTGGTGACAAAAACAATTCTCAGAGTTGGCAAATACAAATCCATTTTTGTTATGGTTCATGCTTTAAATACAATACGATACAATTGGGATTTATACAGCGTCTAAATTGAAACCCCATCTCAAGACGCTGGATCTGTTGGAGGAGGTATTGAAGGTTGTAACTGTCGAGCAATGAAGGAAAGTCATTTCAAATGCAAGAAAACACGCTTGCACATAATATCCATCGATCACTTCAGGGAACAGGGGTAATAAAAGCACCAAGCAATAAACATGTTACATTGTCCAAATTCTCATAAAATAAATAAAAATTGCGTTTTGTTCTTCGCTTTTGGATTCTTGCCTCAATATAGTGGTCAATAAAAAAAAGTCCCAATCGAGAATCGCATCTGGAATGTGAATGCAAACAATAGTTACACAAAAACAGGGCTGGCAGTCGTAGCATAGTGGTTAGTGCAGTGCGCGAATAACCCGGCTGTCTGAGTGCAATTCCTCGTTGAGGTCCACCATCAGTGGCGAGTGATATCTGCTGAACCAGTCATGGATCAATAACCCTTAAACCCATATCAGTGTAGTCAGGAAGTCCAAAATAACCGCCATGGCCTTCACTTTCAGTAGATTGCCAAAGGGGGATGTAAATTATTTATTTGAAAACACGGCAATATATATTTTTTAAAGCTCCTAAAGTAAATTTTCCAGCTTTAGGGCCTGAAGCCCTTGTTTCCTGCAGCATAACACACTTTCCAAGTGTTTTCTTCGCTTCTAAAGATTCTGAAATGGCGTAATTAATTAAACAAGACCACGTTTTAAGTGTAACTTAGTAAGACTTTACTAACCAATTTCAAGCAACCATTAACTACTTGAAAAACAAGCTTTCATTAGCCCTGGCAGGAATTCCCCCCAAAAATGCCCATTTAATGATTATTTTCACACTGGGTCTTTTGAAACCAATGCTTTTATATGGCCGTTTTGGCCTCACTTACCAATGAGCTTTGTGTACACAAAAAAAAGCCATCTGTTGCACAGATCCGTGCGGAGTTTTGAACCAGATCCAAATAAAGTACACTATGGTTGTGCCTTAACGAAAACGTTTGTGAAAATAAGATTTTTTTTTTAAATTAGAGATTTATGATTTAATCCCTTTCGAAAAGTTTTGAAAAAAAAATTCTGCATGTTTATTGTTCGGTAACTGGCTTAGTTCATGCGTGAATTCACACACCAAACGCTACCAATTTTAATGCAAATCTCTGCACGTTCCCTCCACCAAAAGCCAACAGGCGGCAGATGGTCCGAAGTGTGCCAACCCCCCACTACCTCCAAACACCCTTCTCTATTCACGCCTCTACCCCCCAGCCCAGCCTCCTGCCACTAATTTTTCCCGCTCTGTTGCCTTTGAATGGCGATGCCCCTGTGCAGTAGTGTTGCCTAAGCAAAAGGCACGCTTCCATTAGAGACAGACGGTGAGCCTTGCCCACCCAGCGCCCCCCCCCTCCTCCCTCTTCTTGGCCTCCTTCCACCCCATCTACACCCAAAACCCAAATCTCAGGAACGGCGCAGCCCAGGACTATGGCATGGCCATCATCCTTTGTGCTTCATCGCACTGCAACCAGACGCAGTTGATTAATGAGACACTTTATCATCTAATTTGCGACGCGCTTGTCCCGCGCTTTGTGTAAAAAAAAATCGACGAAAACCCACCGCAATATCACACCAAGAAAAAAAATGTGCTAAATGTCATCAAGAGTACATGGAAGCGTTTTTTTTTTCAAAATCACAAACACTTCGAAGAATACATGAAAGTTCTAGTACAGGAGTCTTACTCAGATTGAGGTACGGGCAACAGACACAAATATTTTACTTAAGCAATTCGTGCATTACTTTATTTGATTACATTTCTAGTAATTGTTGCGGCTTTCCATTGAAGTCAGAGATGTGAACATATTTTTAGTTTTAATTGTAATACATTTATAAACTGAAATGGAATATTTCCTTCTTTACCTGTGCATGCAGATACCCATTTCAGAATTGACATCAAGCAACAACAGCAATGGTGCAACAGCACAATATTTGGGATCATCTGAAGTTAAAACAACAACTCATGTATGCACATTCAGGCTCCACATCACTGTAAACTTTTTCAACAATGCTGTACATGACACACTTTCCACACGTTACACAGGAGCGGCAGTCGGCCGCACTGTGCCATTTCATTTAAAATATGAAAATAGTTGCAGACAAAAGACATCCCTCCATTCACCAGTCTGTAGACAAGTGGGGGGTTTGGGGGGGGTTGAGAGTTGCTCGGGTGGGCGGGAAAGCATTGATGAATAAGTTGGGGAGTGGGGTGGCCACGGCGATGGCAGGACGGGAGGAATTCTTCTCAGAAAGTGAGGAAGGGGTTGGGTGAGTCGTGATTGGTTAACGAACACAGGCGGTGGGGACTTGCATTGGCCGAGTGAGAGTGTAAAGTTGTAAGGCTAAAGAAGTGTTTTTGGCATTTGTGGTCAAACTCCGACGCAAGGCACCGCTTCCTTTGCTGCCCACACCGCTGGCCCGCGTCACTTTTGTTTCGCTCGTTTGGGAAAGTGAAAGTGGTTTAGCTGCTGCAGGGCAGCCTCAGGGGAGGAGAGGAGATAGTACAGCGGAATTCCAGTGGCTTCTTGCCTGGGATATCCCCATAGCGTAACATGATCATTGCAGAGGCAGCACGCTTGATGCATTCATTGCCTAACAACTTCCAACAATAGAAAGAGATCTGCACACTGAACTGCAAGTACAAAGTTGTACTTTAAACGTCTTCATTTATTGGAAATGTTTGATAACAGTAGTCAAGCAAAAAATACAACAAATACATGACCGCAGTGGACCTTTATATTTTAAGTAAAAAAAAAAACATTTTTTTATCATCATCATCCAATTTTTTTTTAGTTTTGTATTAAATATAATTTTTATTTGAGCTGGTAGATAATTAGCCTCGGCGAAGTGGAGACGCAGCTGAACCCGCTGGCGTTGAACGTAACCCCAAGTTCAGCAGCCGGGAGCGATCACAGTGCAGGTGCCACCACCAACACCACCAACAACAATGGAGCCAACGACGCGCAGAGAGGCCCTCGTTTCTCTCTCGCTGCTGCTCCTGCTGCTGCTGCACATGTGCCTGGGCACCACCGCCATTACCGTCAAGTACGCCCTGTACGAGGAGCAGCCCGCGGGCACCCTCGTGGGCCGCCTCTCCGACGACCTGCAGGGCCGCGTGGCCGAGCACCCGTCCCGTCACTTCCGTCTGATGCGGCGAGACGACTTCTCCTTGGTGCACGTGGAAGAGGCCGACGGGACGGTGAGCGCTCGCGAGGTCATCGACAGGGAGCAGCAGTGCGGGCAGGCGCCCTCCTGCGTCATCCGCTTCGACGTGCTCTGCACGCTGCCCCGGGGCCTCTTCCAGCTGGTGCACGCGGAGGTCGAGTTGCTGGACATCAACGACCACGCGCCAGACTTCGCGCGCTCCGAGATGCACGTCGAGATCTCCGAGAGCGTCGCGCTGGGCACCAGGGTTCCCCTGGAAGGCGCCCGTGACCTGGACGTCGGAGGGAACGCACTGCGGGCCTACCACCTTGACGAGAACGAGCGCTTCGGGCTGGCGCTGCGGGCACGCACCGACGGCGCAAAGTACGCGGAGCTCGTGGTGAAGAGCAGGCTCGACCGCGAGCAGGAGGGAGAGTACACGCTGCAGCTGACCGCCTGGGACGGCGGTGACCCGCCGAGGTCGGGGACGACCCTCGTGCGGATCACCGTGCTCGACTCCAACGACAACTCGCCCGTGTTCGCGCAGACCTCGTGCAACGTGACCGTGAGGGAAGACGCCACGCCTGGCACCGTCCTCCTCACGCTCAACGCCACCGACGTGGACGAAGGGCCGAACGGCGAGGTCGTGTACTCCTTCAGCAGTCCCGTGGATGCCGAGGTGCGACGCCTGTTCCAACTGGACCCCAAGACGGGAAAGCTGTCCCTCAAGGGCCAGCTGGATCACGAGCTCAACTCGGAATACGAAATATCCATCCAGGCGCGAGACATGGGTCCCAGCTCCATTCCAGCTCACTGCAAAGTGCTCGTGCACGTGGAGGACATCAACGACAATGCGCCTGAAATCAAGCTGGACTTCATCATGCAGTCCAGGGGAGACACTGTGTTTGTGAGCGAGGGTGCGGCCTACGAGAGCTTCGTTGGCCTCGTCACCGTCTCGGACATCGACTCTGCCGAGAACGGCCTCGTGGCATGCCACCTGCGCGGACACCCGCACTTCAAGCTGCTGCCCTACCGCGACGACTACGTGGTGGTGACCAACAGCAGCCTGGACCGCGAGCAGATGGCCGACTATTTCCTGGTGCTCGAGGCGTCGGACGGAGGCACTCCGCCTCGAGTTGCGGCCCGCCAGTTCACCGTGCGTCTGCTCGACGAGAACGACAACGAGCCGCGCTTCCACCGCTCCACGTACGAGGCGTCCCTGCTGGAGAACAACAGCCCCGGCGCCTACGTGACGACGGTGACGGCGTGGGATGCCGACGCAGAACACAACGGCATGATCGCGTACAACGTGGTCGAGTCGGAGGTGGCTGGAGCGTCCGTGTCCACATACGTGTCCATCAACCCGTCGAGCGGCGCCATCTACGCGCTGAGGCCCCTCGACTATGAGGCTATGACGAGCCTGACTTTCCAAGTGCAGGCCAGGGACGACGGCGTGCCGCCGCTGGTCACCAACGCCACCGTGTCGGTGAGGATTGTGGACGAGAACGACAACGCGCCGGTAGTCACGCACCCACCGCTGCGCAACGGCACGGGCGTTGTCCGGCTGCCCAGGGACGCGGGGCTCGGGTACCTGGTGACGGTGGTGCGGGCCAGAGATTCCGACTCGGAAGCGAACGGCGAGCTCAGCTATCGCATCGTGCAAGGCAACGAGCGCAATCTCTTCCGCATCAATCGCCTGGGAGGTGAGGTCTTCACCAATGCTGCCTCGGTCACCGACGCGGCGGCTTCGGCGGCGTCGGCGACGCGGCACAGCCTGGTGGTGATGGTCAGGGACAGGGGCTCGCCAGCTCTCTCGGCGACCGCCGCCATCGAGATCCGAGTCGGTGCACACGGAGCGAGCGAAAACAACGACGACAACAACGACAACGACGACAACAACAACAACGACGGCGGCAAACTCTCTGGGCGAGACGAAGCGTTTGGCGGCTCCGCTCCGGACGGCGACGATGGTGCCGACGAGACGCAACCGCTGGACGCCTCAATGCTGGCCGTGATGGCGCTGGGCGCCGCTTGTGCCCTCACGCTCGCCGCCGTGGTGCTCGTCGCCAGCACCAAGTCGGGCTCCTGCGGGGCGGCTGCCCTCGAAGGCAAGGAGGAGGGGGGCGAGAGGAGACGCGGCCGTTCGACGCCATCGACGTCGTCGTCGGAGGCGCCGGTGGAGGCGCCGTCACGCGGCTCCCAGCGGCTCGCCCGCGCGGAGGAGGGCACGGGCGACGGGGACGCCAGCAAGGCGACGAGGACGAGCGTGAACAAGCGCGACATTGTGGTGCTGAGCAGCGAGGCGGCGGGGCAGCTTGCCGAGGGAGACGTCGAGGAGCCCCTGGCCGTCGTCGGCACGGTGTTTGGGCCGCACGGCGCCGCGTCGGACTCCGCTCGGGGCCGCAGGAGCGAGGCACAGGCCCGGCCCAGGGATAGCCTCACCCCGTCTCAGCACTCTTCAGAGGGCTTCGCCGAAGCTGAAGCGGCGACCCCCTCACAAGACAATGTCGAGGTACAATTAACCAAAGCCAATCATTCAAATCGGGCACCGTTATTGCAACGCTGTTTGAAAGGTTCAGGGTGGGGCGCCGCAATTGCTCGCTCACGCCGCTGGTGGCATGCGAGACTCTGGCTCGAGCGGTTCTCCTTAAAGAGGCTTATGTTAAACAAAACGTGTGTCCACGCCGCGCTTAATGACTTGCGTTTACATTTGCGACTTCATTGAAAACAAAACAAATGTTTTTTTTTATTTTTGTTCGGCAATATTGTTTGTGAGATGGTACACGGCAGATGCGGCAAGTTAACGCGCGCGCGCGTGCGTGTGTGTGTGTTTTGCGTGGTTTGTCTTTTGACGTACCGCAGGTCTCGCAAATATTGACGCTCCTCAGGCAGGGAAAGTACCGTCCACGACCAAGCTTCCGAGGAAACAAGTATCCCCGACGGATGAGGTGAAGCAACAACTGCATTCACATTCACTAACGACTCGGTTACAGATGCAAAAAAACACATCATCATCATCGTTGCACGTTGAATGAGAGAGAGAGAGAGAGAGCGAGAGCTCACAGGAGGGAGCGGTGCTTCGTGTTGTCATCACTCAGGTGTGCGGAGGTGGACGGACAGAGCCTGAAAGACAGCGGACGAGGCGACAGTGACACTGAGGAGTGCGACTCGGAGCCCGGTCGACATTCTCCCCTGGGCTCCCTCACTCTGTCGCTCCCAGGGCCTGAGCATGCAGGTGAGGCCTGCGTGTGGACACAAACAAAAACAACAACAAACAAACAGATGCTACTAAGTGGTGGTGATGTCACCACGGCGCTTTGTGCCAGGCTAGGTGCACTTTGAGGCTATCTGTTGCAGTGTCGAAGGTTTGCTGGCAGGAGGCCACGGGACAGACCCGGGTGATACGTTACGTGATGGAGATGTAATGATATGCAAAGGCAAACACAAGCATGCTCCAATCCACACCACCAAATCCATGCTTGCATCTAAAGTATATGATGTGTTTACTGTATATGGGCTATGGACCAGGGTATCTCAATAATAATGGGCCATGAGAGTAGCTAATCTTTTTGAGATTGCTCGTATCTGAACTTAATATGCACTCTTTCAAAACAGTATTACCTAGCAAAACATCCCTTATTCATATACGATGATCAGTGCACTGGGTGAGATTGATAAACAAGCCTTCTTAGGGTCTCATTCTCAAAGATGTTGTGACCTACATTTCAAATGTTTGAGACATTTGGAGTTCGTGAAATGTTTAAAAAGTTTGACTTACTTATAGGGTGATTTTGAAGTCTTAACCTTCTACTGTGGAACAAAATAAGTGCCCTAATATTAATATCTATATATTTTTTGTTAAAATGTGAACCTCTGCATGAATATCCTCTTCTCAAAATCTCCATACCATCCAAATTCAAAGCACAGCACACACAGATATGTGTGGCCATTTATGACATAGTAAATAGTTTGGAGCCACCCTTATCTCTTCGAATTGGCTGCTGGAAGGCTAATTATGAGCATGCATGCCGCTAAGCCAGCTTTCATGGTCGGATTCCCACAGATGCTTGGTAATTTCTGTGGAGAATTACAAAAGCGCATCGTACTCTGTCAAGTGGACATCAAAGGCCCCATAAAACGATTAGTAAGTATAAACCAGTCCGTGCCAATTTCATAGTGCAAATCCCAAATTACTCAGCTAAATAAATAAATAAATATGCCACGCCGCGGCTGTGAACCGGGTCTCCTTTTCAAAAGGTGAAATAAGTCACAATGGTAGATGAATTAACTCACGATGTCCAACATTTCGCTGAATGTTTCTTCTTGGGAACTGAGAGTTATAGAGCAATATATGCAGCAGTATAACTCGCAGTGGCCTCTTAACTGGTTAATGCAGGGCAATGATACAAACGTCACTGTTGTTTTTTCTTCTTCTTTACAGAAGTGCCTCCCTGGACGACTGAGTGCAACCTACCGGCAATGGGACATTCCTCGTGCCTTCCGCACACCGGCCCTGCCCCTCCTCTTGTGGCCACCCAGGCTGTTGGGACTACCAGGCCAACCCTGCTGCCTCTGGGGCTCCACTCGGCAGCCGCTGTGGCCGTGCCGAGGGAGCTGGGCCTGCCGGCCATCCACCAGGGCCCTCTCACTTTTTCCACGTTCGGCAAGGCGATCCCTGCAACTACTCGATGCTGAGAGAAGACAGCAGGGAGACCCCTGTTACAGTTGAACAGGCGGTATGACTGCCGCACTGTGGCCCACGGGGCCAGAGGGGCCCGAGGAGCCAAGTTAGGAGAAGAAGGAGGATATTGGACTGGGGGCCCCATTTCATTCCTTGTACCAGGGCCCTGTGCCAACTATTTCCATGCCATTGGTTGGAGTTAGACTATACGTAATACTTTGACATTCTGCTCGTGTTGAGAAACAGTAACTGAAATTCTATTGATCGCGATGACCACAAAACGACTGAATATATGCAACAATGAGTATTACACCTCGCATATATGTCTTGTGTATGTCCTCTCACACCACCATGCACTGCAATACAGACGTATTTCTTTGGATGGAACATTGGTCCTGGCAGTTAAATGTATGCATGAACACTGGAACATATTGGGCCACGTGCAAATTAACACTTCGGTTTTAATGTTTCATGCACTGTTTAAAAAACGAAACTCAAGCAAAGGTTGGCTACAATAATGAATCTTTATCCCCATGGTGCTGAGTTACATTAACATGAAGCAGGGCACAAAGTATCGTATCAGTAAGCTGTAAACATGATTGGTTTACAATGCAAAATACTGTAACCCATGTAGGGTAAAAACTGTAAATTAAGTTTAAGATTTCATACCAAAGACTTTTGTAAAAAAAATAGATAAAATATTTAAAACTTTCGTATTTTAGTGTTAAGTTGAACAAATGTTTTGATATTGAATGAGGTTTTTATTGTGTTATTAAGAAAGCAGCCCGACTGGATTATTATTTAAAATTGACAATCAATTATCTGTTTAATGGTTGATAAATTACCACAATTCCTTAAGATGTACGTTGTATTAATATTGCATACTTGTAGACCGTTAACAAACGTAGCATACTTGGAATTAGATTTTTTTACACGTTATGGAGGTGAGTTAAATTAAACAATTGTACCGCTTTGCTTATTTAAAAAGCTAATGGAAATAAATTATACACTGTACTTTATTATTTGTGCAAAAGTAGTGATCATGTGGATTGTCTCATGATTTGTTGTTAAATTGTACCATAACTATATCGATGTTAATGTTTTATAGTAACAGTAATATAATTCCCAGCCCTTTGTCAATCCACTTTTGGATCAAGGCCCCCCCCCCCTCCAGCAGAGTCCACCATAGTGGTTGTTAAACCAATACTTCACCAATGCTTAACCACTCTGTGTCAGTGTGAGTTTGGCGGGGCACAGGACTGGTTCGGATATCACTCGCAGTATGCACTGTCAATCGTATAGTGCCACAGTTAAAATGTTTAATTTAATCGCTTCTAAGCATATACACTACTCATCTTTATTTAATATACAGTTAATATAATTATTTTTACCACATGCCTTTTGTACCTTTTCATGTTTTAAATAAAGTATTTTCTTGTCAACGAGTTATGCAGATTGCTTTGCAGTGTTCATAATTGAAGGCAGACGTTTTAAAACGCATTGCATTCCTTAAAAGGCAAAAACATTCATGATTCTTATCTTAATCATCATCATGAGATATGCTCTGGACTTTTCAAAAGCCATTTCATCAATTGATACTTTTATCACACCTTAGGTATGCAGAATTAGCTATGGCACACCAAAACTTCAATCAGTTGTTACCCATCCTAAATGTTTCACAATAAAAGGAAACCAGAGTAACAATTAACGTCGGGACAGCACCCTTATAGAATTATGCTTAAAAGTGTGCAAGAAAATGCGTCAACATTTACTCTAGTTTCAAACAAATTCTTACTCATTATGGAGCTTTATATTCGTAAACAAGCCTCAATGTATTTCTTTGTGTTTTTTTTGTATCCTATCTTGAATCCACATCAGCATGCTTCTTGTTCTGCTTAAATGTAGATGGAAATGCGATGTCATTTGTAGGCTCGGGCCAACACTTAATCTTGCTATCAGATACATGCACACAAAAGCCATTTCAAAAATGCCAGATTTTTTAGCGTCGAGCAGGTGGCTCTATTCACTGGGGGTCTGAAAGGGAAGGGATGGGAATGGATAGCGGAGTTTGGAAACGGGGAGGAGGAAGGGGGGTATGGTCAAAGAAAAAGCTGCGTGACCTGGTTATAGCTATCTGAAGCATCTCGCTTGAATGTATCGCGGACCGTGGCTCCTCCCTCCTCGCCTGGTGCCACTTGGGATATATTGCTATCCCTTTTATGAGCCGCGCAGATCCCTTCGATCCAACATCGTGTGTCCCCCCCCCCCATGCCTCTTCTTGATAAGACATTCATCAGGTCCACTAGCAACAACTTGACTATACCATGAGGCAGTGATCTGTAAGACAACGCTGCTGGCTTCAAATGGGTGACTATGCTTGAAGCACATCTGCTTTCTCCACCTTCAATTTTTCAGTTTTTTTCAGTTCCATTAATTAGGTATAGCCCTGTGAGCCATGCGGCTCTTGACTCGGGTGCAACCGCAACGAACAAAAACATGAACAAGAAACATCTTAAAGTGACGATGCGCAACAGAAACATCCAGGAAAAACCAGCAAGATCTTCCAGAAAAAAAGCACCGTATGTTAACGCTGTGTGGAAAAATCCCAGTGGGCTGCACGTCAAACAATAACAACCATACGTCAATTTAGATTAAAGTTATCAGGCTAACTCCGTATTTCAACAAACAAACATGGCTTAATTCTAGATTTGAAGCTTTCGTGACTGCAAGGATTCATACTCTTTGGTTTTATTCGGTAAAGTCACGAACATAAAATAAAACAAAATAAAAGAAAAGAAAATAGAAAATAATCAAATCACGACGTTTTGGAGGCAACACAAACTTCCGTCTTCAGGTGGAAAAGTCAACGCAGAATATCTGTGACAGATTGACTTTTCCACCTGAAGACGGAAGCTTGTGTTGCCTCCGAAACGTCGTGATTTAATTATTTTCTTTTATTTTGCTTTATTTTATCTACGTGACTTTACCGAATAAAACCAAAGAGTATAAACATGGCTTAACCATACATTTTCGAAATCACCAAAATAAAGCTATGAAAACAATGTAACAGTGATCATAGGAACTGTGATTCAAATTGACGATATACATGCAGCGAACATCTGGAGCGATGCATTTGGTTTCAGGCCACTCTGCATAGCAGTGGCAGCGGGGGGTGTACAGCTCATCAAAAGTAGTTTTGAGTGCAGATCTCACAGGTAATGATCCAAGTTGCAGTTTATTGGCGATAGCATTCCAGACCCTGGGGGCATCAACAGCAAATGCCCTTCCTCCAGTATTTGTACGGCAATAAGGAATGTGAAGCTGGTAAATTAGCGAGGACCTGAGGTCACATTTGTTCTTCGAAACAGTGAGGATATCCAGCGAGCAGCCTGCTGATTTTTTTGTAAGTACACCGTGAATAAATACGATCTGATGCACAAGCCGTCGATCATTAAGAGATGTTAAGTTTGACCCAATCATCGCCTGCCCAGTCACGAGGTGGCACTTAACTACCACGACACTTGGGTCTTATGCTGACCGGGGCAGTTGTGCACCAGCGTAAGCGTAGCGTCCCGGTTTTAACTTTTGGTCACATTTTCACAAGAAATAATGGGCCGTCCATAAATGACGTCACGCAGCTAGGGGGGGTCAGACATTTGTGACGATGTGTGACGAGGGGGGGGGGGGTTGAGAAATGTGACGTCACATCAAAATGCGCAACTTTAAATAAATATAGACAACACGTTCTACTTAATTAAATAGACTTTTTAATAAATGTTTTCTCCTACAACATCAGAGTGCAGCGCCACATTAAATACGCACTACAATGACAATAGTTTAAAGCGATTTGAAACATGTTTTATATATTTTGGGGGGGGGGGGCAGAGCTATGTGACGTCATATATGAGGGGGGTCTGCCTTTTTGTGACGCTGCGTGAGGAGGGGGGGGGTAAAAAATCGCGTGACGTCATTTATGGACGGCCCCTAAACTGTAATCGTAATTACAGTGAGGGAAAAAAGTATTTGATCCCCTGCTGATTTTGTATGTTTGCCCACTGACAAAGAAATGATCAGTCTATCATTTTAATGGTAGGTTTACTTGAACAGTGAAGAGACAGAATAACAACAAAAAAATCCAGAAAAACGCATGTCAAAAATGTTATAAATTGATTTGCATTTTAATGAGGGAATAAGTATTTGACCCCTCTGCAAAACATGACTTAGTACTTGGTGGCAAAACCCTTGTTGGCAATCACAGAGGTCAGACGTTTCTTGTAATTGGTCACCAGGTTTGCACACATCTAGGGAGGGATTTTGTCCCACTCCTCTTTGCAGATCTTCTCCAAGTCATTAAGGTTTCGAGGCTGACGTTTGGCAACTCGAACCTTCAGCTCCCTCCACAGATTTTCTATGGGATTAAGGTCTGGAGACTGGCTAGGCCACTCCAGGACCATAATGTGCTTTTTCTTGAGCCACTCCTTTGTTGCCTTGGCCGTGTGTTTTGGGTCATTGTCATGCTGGAATACCCATCCACGACCCATTTTCAATGCCTTGGCTGAGGGAAGGAGGTTCTCACCCAAGATTTGACAGTACATGGCCCAGTCCATCGTCCCATTGATGCGGTGAAGTTGTCCTGTCCCCTTAGCAGAAAAATACCCCCAAAGCATGTTTCCACCTACATGTTTGACGGTGGGGATGGTGTTCTTGGGGTCATAGGCAGCATTCCTCCTCCTCCAAACACGGTGAGTTGAGTTGATGCCAAATAGCTCCATTTTGGTCTCATCTGACCACAACACTTTCACCCAGTTGTCCTCTGAATCATTCAGATGTTCATTGGCAAACTTAAGACGGGCATGTATATGTGCTTTCTTGAGCAGGGGGACCTTGCGGGTGCTGCAGGATTTCAGTCCTTCACGGCGTAGTATGTTACCAATTGTTTTATTGGTGACTATGGTCCCAGCTGCCTTGAGATCATTGACAAGATCCTCCCGTGTAGTTCTGGGCTGATTCCTCACCGTTCTCATGATCATTGCAACTCCACGAGGTGAGATCTTGCATGGAGTCCCAGGCCGAGGGAGATTGACAGTTCTTTTGTGTTTCTTCCATTTGCGAATAATCGCACCAACTGTTGTCACCTTCTCACCAAGCTGCTTGGCAATGGTCTTGTAGCCCATTCCAGCCTTGTGTAGGTCTACAATCTTGTCCCTAACATCCTTGGAGAGCTCTTTGGTCTTGGCCATGGTGGAGAGTTTGGAATCTGATTGATTGATTGCTTCTGTGGACAGGTGTCTTTTATACAGGTAACAAGCTGAGATTAGGAGCATTCCCTTTAAAAATGTGCTCCTAATCTCAGCTCGTTACCTGTATAAAAGACACCTGGGAGCCAGAAATCTTTCTGATTGAGAGGGGGTTAAATACATATTTCCATCATTTAAATGCAAATCAACTTATAACATTTTTGACATGTGTTTTTCTGGATTTTGTTGTTGTTATTCTGTCTCTCACTGTTCAAATAAATCTACCATTAAAATTATAGACTGATGATTTCTTTGTCAGTGGGCAAACGTACACAATCAGCAGGGGATCAAATACTTTTTTCCCTCACTGTATGCTATCAATGATGGATCTACTCTGCCCTGTATGACCCCGTGGCAGTAGAGTGTGGGTGTTCTGTAAACAACTCACCTGAACATGCAAATGATTCATCTTAAGTGCTGCATACTTTTTGCAGGAACACATTATCATGTTTGCGCGCGATGCATTCGGATAATATTTGCACAACGTGTGGCATTAGGTCAAGTGCTTTTAAAGGTGATGCCGTATTTCTGCTCACCTCTGTAAAAAAAAAAGGAATTGCAGCATCCTGTGCAATGCATTTTCCCCGTGGAATATTTGTAAGCTTATTACGCAGAGCTACGCTTAAAAGTCCCCCCCCCCCCCGCCTCCCCGCAAGCACGCTTCCTTTTGTTTCTTGAACACCCTAATGAAATTATATTATGGTATCGTTTATGTGTGAATTTCCATCTGCAGTGGATTAACAGTGAAAGGTTTGTCAATAGCCATCAAAGTAACCGTGCGAGGCTTTAGGTAAGTGTTTTCGGCAAAGGCACACAAATGAAAGAGTCGATACTTGTGCCACTGTAAGGCCACTTGCACTCACGTAAAAAAAGCACTCCGAAGTAAAATAGTGGGCAAAAAACTGCACTGTACCCTTCGTACAGTCAATCGGCCAGCGGCTTGTGTCAAGTATAAACTGTGAATGCTGACATTCTACAAGAAGAACAGTGGCAAGACGTTATCGCATATCTTTTGTAAAAAATTTTATTGCAGTTATTGAAACGGATGATTGTGAGACGGGCAATTAATTTGGAGGGAAACTATCGCAATACAAGATGTAGATTTAAAGCTTTCGTGGCTGCAAAGATTCATCTTCTTTGGTTCTTTCGGTAAAGT